ATATANATATAAAGAAAAACAGAATGTAACAAAGGAGTGATGTGGGCCAGTATCAATTTGTCATTTGTCCTTTAAAGAGGGTTTTAAGCAATAAGAGATTTTCTGTGGAAGCACAGGCATTCAGCCGCACGTTGGGAGTATTTCTATGAATTTAACATACATGTAATGCTCTTCTTATTGGATGCTGTGTTTTTAAGAAATCCGGGCTCTAAACTTTTTTTTTTTGCTTTATTTTTGTATTATATGATACCCATCAGAAGGGATTAAGTAGTGGAGAATTTGACCCTACCACGAGTTACATGGGTTTGATTCTGTGCATGGTTCCATTTTTTCGAAGAACAATGACCCTGCCACAAGTGACCACTTAAGGTGGTGTTTGGAACCAATATCATTTTTCTATTATTAGAAAACGGTGATGTAATGATGTGCGATTTTTATTAAAAAATGACACTATTTTTTGTTTGGTTTCATTGCTGTTACTAAAGTGTTTTTCATTACCACATCAATTAATCGTTGCTAGTAATGGTATAAAAATAAGAAAGCACTCTTTCTAGTATTTTCCCATATTATGCCTTTCCGATTTCCTAGGTATAGTCAGTTTTTTAGAATTTTCCAAAAAGAAAAAGCCAAACAAACAAAGTATATACATCAAGGTCGCACTGATGTATTACCATTTTTTTCCAAAACCAAATTGATTTCAAACACCTCCTTGGTAAAAAAAAAAAAAAACTTTGATAAAGTCAGAGTAACCCGTCCCCATAGTCCCATACCTAAATTGATGCCAAAATCCCTGCTCCGAGCCTCTAGGTTCAGCTCATGATCATCTCCTAAGGCTCAGATTGGAAGGAGTACAAATATAAATATATTGAATGTAAAATCTTGTATTTTATATTATTTTGTATGTATTTAAATTATACATATTTGTATTTGTCTTCCTTCCAAACTGAGCCTAAGGAAGAGATCACATCTGCTGCAATCTATACAAGGGCATTCCACTCGTATTTTAAACTCATAAATAAGCAAGTAATCTGCTCTTTGATTGAGTTGGGTTGAGTATTCTTGTCTTTACTGATTGGTCAACAGAAATAATGATGTTATGACGCGAAGGGGTTGTTTGCCAACGGCTGGATTGGTTGAACTTGTGGCTGAACATAACTTATCGAATTATCTTTTTGGTGAATTACCTGATTTGAAGATTTTCTACTCCATCGGTGCCGGCCATTTTCAAAATTTAACAAATGCTCAACAGTAGCCCATCCAAACTTCTAAATGGCCCCATGGCCATTTTCAAGTCTATGCTTCACGGTTCACGCTTGGATCTTCCTCTGTTTTATTTTGTATTGATATTTCGTTGGGAGATGAAAGGCAAAAGGAAATGTTGCCCCTTCTCAGTTCAGTTGATATTTCTCATGTTTCAATGTTGAATAATTCAATATTTCTTTCTTTCTTTTTAAATTTTCTTTTTCAGTAAGCTGTTAAATCAAAGGTACCTACTGGCTCAGATGGTAAAATCAACAGGGGTTTGACAGTTTCTTCTTTTTGCAGCTTTAAGGAATCCATTATGAAAAAAGTATCTAAATCCAGAAAAAAATGTTTCTAATCATTTTCATAAATCCAAACTTCAAAATGATTCTTTAATTGAGAATTAATTCTCTTATAGGGGAAAAATTTGACTGTTCATAGTCGAGACTCGAGTGCCTTGGGCTGTTAATAGGGCTACCCCTACATGATACATTAATTCGCACAGAATACTTAATATGGGTGCAATTTGGATTGGCCTGAGGTAGCATATTACATTACTTTTGGGTTTGGGTCTTTCAACCGGGCCCATTAAAATTTTGACAAAAATCCAACCTTAACCTAAGCTAGGGATGGTAATTTTCCCTATTCCCGATGGGGATTCAACTTCTTCGACCCGATGGGATCGGGGATGAGGATTGTTTTGGCGGGGGCAGGAATGGAGACTGGGATTAATAGGAATCTTCGATCAGGGCCCGCCCGACCCCGATTACATATTATATGTGTATTTTTATTAAATATATTATTATATTATTTGTAATATTATATATATCAAAATATATTTTAAATATTATTTATAATTTATAATTTTTATTTATTTTAAAAAATACTGTTATCTGAAAACATTTTAGAGATTTGGGTCCCCACGGGGAACCCATCCCCGTCGGGGATCAGGGATGGAGGACAAATTTTATCTCCAACGGGGATTGGGGACAGAGATGGGGGTTAATTGCAGAATCGGGGTCGAGGACGAAGAATATGATCCCCGCCCCATTGCTAGTCTTAACTTGAGCCTGCCTAAGTCTACATTTGACATTCTTTATTTTAAGGACATATCTCCTTTTTGTAGTTAAAAATCTCATAGGGGCATTTTAACTACAAAAACCTTAGTGTTCATAAGGGCATTTTAACTGTAAAAAAGAGACAAGTCCTTAAAATAAGGAATACCAAATGTAGCCTAAATTGCACCCCAACACAAAACAGCCTGGATTGTAATGAAGTTCATGTGCATGACACATTAGCAAGGCTGTGGGGTAAAAGAGTAATTACAATCAGTATTCTTTTTGAGGGTGTTTGACAACATGGTTGGGATGTTACCGAATACCCCCTTAATTAAAAATACAAATAAGGAATTTATAGGGTAACTTTTTTTTTAACCCCAAAATTTACTCCAAGTGGAGGGTAACCACCTTAGCATCTTATTAATCATTCCACATCTAGGGGTGTTGATTTTTATTCTCTAAATATCAAAGAATAGTTTGTCCCTAAAACAGAATTTTATTTTCTAACATGCCCTCTTCACAAAAGCCTATTAGGCTTGAAGTGTGGATAAGCACAGACCCATCCATATCCTATGCTTAAACTAGCACCAGACCATTTAGTCAAAGAGGTTTTGAAGCCATCTCAAAGAGTGTTCAACTTAAAAGCTTAAACTGGTAGGTGATGTCAATGAATGGGTTTTTATTCTTTAACATAAAAGTATAGGAAAAATTAAAGGATTTGTGAAAAAGCACATGGGGAAATGGTTTACATTTTTGGGTTATTTACCCAAAATATAGCTGCCTCCTGCCTGTGTCATCTTCGGTGGTGACATTAAGCCCCACCAATTCAGACTTGACCACGAAATCAAAATTAACCTTCACGAACCAGTTTTCAACTTTTCGCCGATTCGAATGAAAAGATGAATCATGAAAGTCATTCGGATCTTTTATCCGCAAGAATTATATCCACAACTACCCACATGACACTATAGCCACACATTGAAACATCTTCCTTACATGAGGTTTGTTAAGAGTAGGAGATCTGGATTGGTCATATCCATCGTCTATATTTGCTATCGGTACCAATTGGCTAAATAATTAAGACTCAGTTTAAAAAGAATACAAATGCAAATATGTATAATATAAATACATACAAAATATAAGATTTTACATTCTACATATTTACATTTATACTCTTTCCAAATTGACCCTAAGGCTGGTTATAGTGAAGACTTGCGAAATAAATCCCAGATATAGTCATCGAATCTCTAACCAACAGTGGAATAACTCAAATTAATGGGTTGGTTGGCTTCCTTTAAAAAAAAATCAAATTAAAAAATCACCTCCTATCTTTTTAGTCAAACTAAATCTAATTTAATTTTCGCAAAAAGAAAAACTCAATACAAAGGAACTTGGGATCGAATCCCATTGCCACCAAATTTGGTGACCAACCAGATTTTCTTTCTTCTTCTTGTTCAGTATTGTCATTATTAAATTATACTATTATAATTTTAAGTAATTGAATGCATTGCTCGTATAGATGAATGAATAAAGCATTAAATGTATTATAAGTACGTGTTAAAACATGGGAGCTGCAAGTAGCTTTCCGATGGCTTGCACTCAGAAGTCAATTAGCTTATTAATTTTTTCTTCCTACTTTCCCAGCTGATGACAGGACACAAGGAGATGTTCTGGAACAGATGTTCAACCGTGGAGGATTAAAAAAAATGTCGATGATCGGTTCGGACGATGGGTTTCTGTTGCTGGTGGGCACCCAGTTGGTCAGCCCATTTGGTGATTCCAATTCTAAGCTTTTATTATTTAATATTAACTAATCACCATTCACTTCACAACCCACCTTCTCCTTCTCTCCGCCCATTTTATTAATTTATTATGATGTGTGTATTGCTTTTCTGTTTGTGGTATTTAATTGGAGTTGGCTTATTGGCCCAACTCCCCAACCAACCACATGGGCGTTTATGGAAATCGGTTTAGACTCTAGGGTACCTGTTGTTGATCGAGACGAGTCATCGATTAAGGCCCACTGTTGCGTGTGTGAAATGTGATGGAGGGGGCCCACGGTTGAAGGATCATCACCGAAACATCAAACAGAAGTCCACATACATGATATGACCACTAAGCCATAAATTATTTTTGTCACAGAGTTATTTACATTTCTCTTCGCGCGAGGATTCTAGTGGTACGAGACCCCCATTCAGTCATTCATTCAATTAGGGGTGTCGTCCGATCCAGTATGAATCCATTACAGATGGATAGGTCCAATCCAATCCGACGATTATTTAGACCATTTTGGATCGGTCTAATTCAATGTCTGGTCCATTCAACCTGTTCAGATTAGTTTTAATTTAGATTGGTTCCAAGCTAAGTCTGATTTATTGACACCTATATTCTTGTCTTCTATCAATGAATCAGATATTGATTCATTCCCACTAAATCTAATATAAATTTATTATGAATGAACCACGGTCAGTCCAATCCAATAAATATTATACACCATTAATCTAGACTGGCCTAATTCAATATGTCTTATTAGTTTATCCAAATTGATTTTGATTTGGACGGTTTTTAACCTAAAACCGATCCAATGACACCCCTACATTCACCCACTTTGTCCGGAGACACAATGGCATAATGAGTAAATCTATCCCAGAACAGGGGGCAGATTCGTGGCTTTCTCCTATAAAAATTCAGCCCAACTGAGGAAAGGAGAGTAGGCCTTGAAGAGTTAAGGGAGGAGAGTGAAGTTTGTGATAGATGGACAAGTCTCCGATCACACCAGAAATTAGAGCCAAAGCTGAGGTGTATGTTGGAGATGAGGTTTGTCAAGAGAAATTCCAGCTGTTGCTGAGGGAGGTAGGATTGCCTAGTGGTCTCCTCCCAGTAAAAGATGCAGAAGAATGTGGGTACATAGAGGAAACAGGCTTCGTTTGGCTGAAACAGAAGAAGAAGACTGAGCATAAATTCAAGTCGATTGGGAAGCCAGTGTCCTATGCACCCTATGTCACAGCCCATGTTGAGAAAAGCAGGATCAAGAAGCTGACCGGAGTAAAGGCCAAGGAGCTCTTGATCTGGGTCACCATAAGCGAGATTTACGTCGACGATCCACCCACCGGCAAGATCACCTTCAAGACTCCGACGGGTATGACCAGAACCTTTCCTGTTTCTGCATTCGAGATCCAGGAGGAGGTCTATAAGGAAGCGAAGCAAACCAAGGAAGCTAATGCCACAATTACAGTAAATGCCAAGTAGTGAAGTGAAAGCCTGATTAATGAACTCGCTAGTTTTCTCTCTCTGTACGTTTGTTATTCTGCTTTTTCTCCTTTTTTAAGTGTGCATGGGTCGACTTTTCTTAACCCACCCAATAATAATCCCTCCAATAATTGAATAAATTTGTCTTATTTTCATCCATGAGCTATTAGTAGGATCTCCACCAAGAAGATGGAAATTAAATTAAAAACATGCAATATATGCATCCTCTTCTTAAAACAAAATTCATTCCCATTTCATTTTAATTCGATCGTCTTCACTGGTGGCCGGTTTCGTTTTAGGCTATGTTTGGTTTAAAAGAAAAGGTCCCTATTTTTTCTTTCAAACCAAGAACAGTATTACTGATTTAAATTCTTCTTCTCTTCCAACATGTTTCTTCCCAAATTGCAGCAAGCCAACCATTAATATTTACATTTAAACTGTGTTTGGTTTGAAATATAAAGGTAAAAAATTGAGGGGAATGGAGATGTTTGAGAAATAACTTTCTGTGTATCTCACGGTGCCGCATGGTCACCACCAAGTTAGTTTAGCTGATCAGGTCACGATTGGACTTATTCAAAAAAAGAGAGAGGAAAGATAAAATTGCAAGGATGAGAGAAAAGAAAGGGATTGTTGAGAGAGAGGCTCAGTAGTTTGAAAGTGAGTAAAAATGCAAATATACAGTATAAATACGTATAAAATAATACAAAATGCAAGGTTTTGTATGAACAATGGAGTACCCACAACGCAACATGACCGAAGCCACTAGGGCTGGGCCCAATCCAAAATGCACACAAAATTGCGAGGTGGACTTATCGGGTTTCAAGACGAAGTTATTGCTCACTTGCTCCGCTGTGTTAATGGCTAATCGCCAAATGCCTTTGCCTTGAGTTCAAATCAGCCCCCCCACTAGATTGCCCCTTACAATGTCCCACAGCACATCTCCGCAGTGTAATGAGAGCATTTCCCGATGATGATATCATCATTTATGGGATTATCATCCAGAAATGTTCTCAATACACAACGGGGATGTGCTGTGAAATGTTATGAGAGGCAATCTTGTGAGGGGCTGATTTGGTCTCATCTTGGAGAGTTCATATCAGCCCCCCATAACATCTCACAGGACATTTTCGCTGTATAATGAGAGCATCTCCATGATGACATCATCATTTATGAGATTATCACCCAATACACGACAGAGATGTACTGCCGGATGTTGTGGGGGACTGATTTGGTCTCATCCAAGAGAGTTCCCAATACACGGCGGGGTCGCAAGTTGTGAATACGTGGGTTTACCAGAAGCGTGAACCTAGCAACCAGAAATTACCACATCGTCAACTTAAAGATTGACTAATTTTAACGGGAATTTAGTGTTAGGTGATGCAATCCGGTTGGACCGGTGCCTCTACAAACTTCGGTCCGACTTATCTCAATCTGCCGAACAATTTTCATCAGATTAGGAGCAACAATGGAGAGGGGATCGAATTCGATTGTTTACAGTTGGATCAGCTCTTTCAAGCTGCTGGGTGCTTCGGATCCAAGGAATCACAGTCCACACTGACGATATTGGCGCGGCTCAATCAGCCTGCAATTTCCAATGGAATAGTCGCTTAGAGAGCTGCGTTTCAAAGAAGCTCTCGTTTCGCGTCTCACTGGCTCCAACCGGATTGACTATTCTCTCTCTCTTCATCCGAGATAATTTACAAGATCATAGCCTATAAGGCCCTTTGGTATATCTCTCCCGTTGTTCAATTTGCGAATTTCACCGCTAATCAGGCGCTTTTAGAGGCCGTTGGTGGAGCCATGTTCATACACATAATAGACTTCGAGATTGGGCTCGGAGGTCAATGGTCGTTGTTCATTCAAGCGATCGCAAGCAAGTCCAGGTCTCGTAACGTTCCTCCCTCCTCTCTTCGAATTCTGTTGTTGTACCAGCAGAATCGTTTCCTGAGGCGAACATGATAAAGGACAATCTCTGTCAGTTCACGCGTGAACTCGGAATTCGATTTGATATTGATTTCGTGATCATTCATGTTTTTGAAGTCATAGTGTTCGACTCTATCAAGTGTCTCAATAGTGAGATGACCGCCATTAATCTCTCTCCAACTATTTTTAGGTATCTCAATACTTCCAATTCCATCCCAGCATTCCTCTAAGTTCTCTCACGGATGTCACCTTAGATCATCGTGTTCGTGGACGTTGATGGCTGTAGAGATACTGCAATGCCATTGTTTCATCGTAATTTTATTGGCGCTCTTGAATTCTACACTTCGGTCCTGGAATTTTTCGACACAAATACGAGAATACGAAGAAGAAAAAGATGATGACGATGACCGATGACCGTCAGTTGATTTCTTATCGCCGCCGGTGCATGTCACGTACACGGACGCAGGTAGGAAGCATCTGTTTTAAGGCTCGGCAGAGGAAAAGAGAAAATGAGAGGAAATTCGAAAATCTCCAAATGATTCAAAGAATTGGATTTTTTGTCCTTTTGTATCCGATTCAATGGAATTACTTCACCTAACGATAGAATTCCCGTTAACTGAGCCTTGGTGCCTTGTTGGTGATTTTGTTTATGCACCCCCTAATAAATCTGAACAAAGAGTTGCCTTGGAAATGGATTAAAGGCATTTCGGATTCAATAACTGAGCCTTGGTGCCTTCTTGGTGATTTCAATTCTTTCAAGATAAGTGATAATAAGAAAGGAGGGAGAGAGGTCATGGTGAGCCAAACAAGAGATTTCAACCAGCTCCTTAATGATTGTAACCTTATGGAGTTGGAAATGAAGGGTCTCCAATTCACATGGAAAAATAAATTCAATTGGGAGCGTTTGGACTGGACTCTTGTTAACGATGATTGGAGGAGACTTTTCCCAAATAGCACTCTTCAAAATTTGCCATTCCTTTCCTCAGACCACACCCCCCTCATCTTTCATATGGACCCTCCTCAATATAAAGGTTCGAGGCCCTTTAGATTCGAACAGATGTGGTGCTTAGATCCGAGTGTGCAAGAGGTCATATCTAAAGCTTGGAACGTTGAATGCTCTGGATCTAAAGCAATCCAATTCGTAAAGAGAAGAAATAAAGTGGCGACAATGCTGAAAATTTGGAATGAAAAACACTTTGGAAATATTTTTAAGAAAAAACAAAACATTTTAAACTCTCTTGAAGATGTCCAAAAATGTATGTTGGATGAAAATAATAATAGATCTTTGTAGAACTTGGAAGGTGCCTTGCAAAAATAACTAAATAATATTCTTACTAAAGAAAAAGCGTATTGGGCACAAAAATCAAGAATCGAGTGGGTTAAACTTGGGGATAAAAACAATAAGTTTTTTCATACTTCAGCAATTATAAAAAAATCTAGAAATAAAATTACTGCTATTAAAAATGACGAGGGTGAAAGAGTTGAAGATCAAGAGGGAGTATTATGTGTCTTTTATGAGAAATTCAAGAAGAGATTTCAAACATATGGGACAAGAGGAATACACGAGTTTATTAAGGAGATCAATAAATGTACAACTGGGGATCAAAATAAATCAATTATTAGGGAGGTCACTGATGAGGAAATTGTTGAGGCTCTTAAATCAATCAAAGATCTTAAACCTTCTGGTCCAGATGGTCTTAATGCCCTATTTTTCAAAAACTTCAGGGACATCACAAAAGATTCCGTTTGTAAAGCTGTCAAGGCTTTCTTCCATTCTGGGAAATTGTGCTGAATTTTGAACAAAACTTTTATCACACTCATCCCAAAAAATGGGAACCCTGAAAATATTAACAACTATAGGCCCATAAGTTTATGCAATATCATCTATAAAATTATTTCAAAAATCCTTGTTAACAGAATTAAACATTTCTTGGATAATATTATATCTCCATACCAAAGTGCCTTTGTGCCTAACAGGTAGATTAATGAAAACATTCTTATCGCTCATGAAATGTTATATACAATGAGAAAGAAAAAAAAGGAAAAATTGGTATACTTGCTTGCAAAATTGATATGGAAAAAAATTATGATAGAATAGAATGAGATTTCATTAAGAAAGTCTTAAGGAAATTTGGATTTCATGATAAATGGATTACTTGGGTTATGGAATGTATAAAAAAGATATATTTTCAAATTTTAATTAATGGTAGCCCCTCTATGGAATTTACCCCTTCTAGAGGGATCAGACAAGGAGATATTCTTTCTCCCTATACTTTTGTTCTTTGCGCAAAAGCATTAGAAAAGAAACTTGAAAAAGAATCTCTATGTAAGAAAAGCCCAATTGTTCTTTGCGCAGTGCCCAAAATTTTCAAAATCTACACTCCAATGCTCGAAAAACACACCAACGAGATTCCAAAAAATCATAGCAAAAATTTTGAAAATCCTGATCCAAGCAAAGTTTGATATTTATTTGGGAGCCCCCATAATAAATGGTAGAGTTTTAAAGAGCACATTCTTGAATCTTAAGGAAAGGGTTAATAACAAACTGGCAAGCTGGAAAAAAAAACACTTTATGTTTGGTAGGTAGAATGGCCCTTATGAATGCTACAATAAATACAATGCCGCAATTTCTCATGAGTTCTTTCAAGTTTCCCCAAAATATCATTGATGAAATTGATAAAAGCCAAAGGAACTTCTTATGGACAAATTCTAGTGAAAAAAAAAACTGGTTCGTTTAATTGGTTGGAACAAGGTGTGTACCCCAAAATGTTGGGGTGGTTTGGGGCTAAAAAACCTCCATTGGGTTAATGAAGCCAACCTAGCAAAGTTGGGCTGGAAAACATTAATTAACAGTGATAACCTTTGGGTTAAAATTATTAAAACCAAGTACCATCAGAAGGAGGACTTTTGGAATGTGAAGGAAAAGAAAGGTAAATCATGGGCATGGAGAGGTATCGTTAAGGGGAGAGATCTCCTTAAAAAAGGGTTAGGTTGGGAAATAAACAATGACAAATCTATCAAGTTTTGGAAAGATACTTGGGTTGGCAATACCTCCTTGGACCAAATTATTTCTCCTGATAGGATTGAAAATGATAATCTTCTTCTTAGTGAGGTTATTGATCAGAATAGGAGTGCATGGGTTGAAAATAGAATTTGTAGCTTGGTTCCTTTGAATATTTGGGGGAAAATAAAATCTATATTTATCCCCTCAAATAAAAAAGAAGATAAATTAGTGT